AACGAAGTGTACTTCGGACGATTTGGGCAACGGAACGCATTCGAAACAGAGGGAAATAGAGGCCTTTGACACATCTGTTGCATGGAAATGCTTGAAACCTTCCCTCGGAGGGTAAAACAGGGCCAAAGGCCTACATTGGAGCATGGCCGACCACTTTTGGGAGCCGGCCGGCCAGGTTTATTGCAGAGAGGGGGCCACCGGCCAGTTTTGTAACAGGATTTCGACTCCCAAAAATTATGAAAAAAATCAGATATGCAATTCAATATGTAATTGATCTACTGTAAAAATTTCATATTAAAATTCATCCGTTTGATATGGTTTCTTGATTTTTAAAGTTTGTGATTCTGTGCAGAATTTTTGAACTAAGAATTACACCCATTCTTTACACATAAATTTAGCTCCTCAAGTTTCTTAATAGGATATCTATATACACAATACATAAACCTACAACCTCTCCATCAATGAACAAAATAATTATAGAATAAGGATGAAGAACAAAAAGAAGAGAAGAAAACCTATGAGGGCTAACCTTTGATGATCACACACAACACAACACACCCAAAAGTTCTTTGATTGCAACATCTTCTTCTTTTTTTTCCTTCTCTCAAACCCTCTCCCGTGGCTGCTGTGTTGTTGCCCTATGTGGTGAACAAATAATAGAGTAGGGTTTGTGTTTATTTTATTTTATACTAGTGGTGGGCACACATAGGTCAAATAAATAGATAAATATACAAAACATATATATAAGTTATATGCAACTCAAATGGTAAGAGTCTTATATTTTAACCTTGTGGTCTAGAGTTCAAGTCACACCCTCCTCTCTATATATATATTTTTTTATAATAAATCTTGCCTCTAAATTAAATACTTTCACCATAAATTTATTTTAATTTTTAAAAGACCTTCGAATATTTAATTTGCACTTTAGGATTCACCACCAAAATATTTGAGATTATAATATTATTATTATTTAATTATTTACTTAATTTTTATATTCGGGTTCTCACAGTCTGTCTTCCCCTCATAAGTGGTGAATTTGGGCTGGTGGAAGCCTGAAGGTAGTGGCGCGTTCTCAATTGCCAGAACGAATGGCGAGCTCTGTAACCTTGCTAATGCTTTGTCAGTTGGTTCGTAAGCAAGGCGCGGCATTGGCATTCCTACCTCGACGCTCCCATGCGTCCGAGGTGCCAACTGCTGAAGGGCTGCAACTCTGTGCGGGTCGCATGCCCTGGTATCCTCCTTCCATCGTGCCCTTTCTTCAAGCATAGTTCGTAAGTTAGATGATCTAGGCAACTCCGTGTGCTTAGATGACGTCTGGTGCGTATGCGAGGGTCGATAGGTGCTTCCCTCAATATATGACCTCTCAGTTCTCGTTCTGTCAAACCTGGAGTAACGAGTCCTGGAAGTCCTTAATTAAGTGTCGCCTACTCTAAGGCTCCTACTTTCTGCTTGCGATGGTGTGGTACGCCTATCACGATCCTCCGAGTGGCGAGGGGGCGTGTTGCCTTTGCGCCCCTCTCCTGTCGCCACCTCTTTTCCTTTTATCTGGCGCTTCATTGACTCCATGTCTGCCGCCATCCTCCTTATTAACTCGTCCTGCTCCTTCACACGATCCTCCAAAACTTGTGGGTCTATCCTCCGCCTCTGTTTTTTAGGACTTTGAGAGCGACGGGGGCTGTCAGCCCGTCTCCCCCTTGCATCCTTCCGGGGGTTCTGTCGCTGGGGTTCTAAATCTGCCATGGGAGGGATAAAAGGCAAACCTTCGCGTCTCTCACCCTCCTCCGGGGTTTGCCCATCAATGGCAGAGTGTGGTAAGTCTTCATTGTGCGCCATTGTTTCCAGCTTGGAGAGGAAAACTCGATCAAGAGGTTTTGTTCTTTCTGGACTTCCCACAGACGGCGCCAATTGTACGAGCACGAAATTATCTTCTCGTATAATCCTGTTGATCAAGTTTGCGCTCCTCCAAACGTCATCGCTTTACTCCCTGAAAACACAAACGTGAGCTAGCCAGCGGGTGTGTGCCGGATACCTCTCCGATGCCTAAGTCAGCAAAAAAAGACAAATAGACAAAAGTTCTGTGTATTCGGGAATCAAAATTGTGTTACCTCTACATATGTTATGTTGTGAGCTTTTATAGTTTTTGCCTGGCACAATCCTAGTATGACTCTTATTCCTCCACGTAGAGTCCTCCTAGGAATCACACTTCTGAAAGATAATGTTTATCCTTCAACACCCCCCTCACTGCTTAAACCAAGTGAGATGGTTTTGCTTCGGTTGGATGAGAGTATGACCGAGCTAACACTAGCACTTTCATACTTAATCCAGCGCCTTCTCATGCAACTGATAGCTCAGCTCTTGTTCATTTGTACCTCGGTTTTATCTGTTGAGACCGAGCTAACTACAGCAAGCTTTGACCGCACTAACCAGAGCAAGGTCCACCATAAGAAGCTATAATACCTCGGCTCCGAATACCATGACCGAGTTAATTATCACCACTCCAACCGTGGTGACTCTAATCATACTTGGACCGAGCTAACACTAAGGTCCACTTGCTAAGCCCTTTTCACCACGGCTCATAAAACGGCCTATTTACTATGCCTGGGCTTAGCTCGGTCTTAATGCTCATAAAAACTCCCTCTCACCAATGCAACAAATGCTTTAGTAGCCTGGCCTATTTGTTAAGCAAGTGTCATGCTATATTTTCTTTTGTCGGCAAGTGTCATGTTACATCCATGACATAGATTTTCAAACACTCTGATTCGGTTTAGTCATGACGCTTTGAAGTCTCTCATACTCTACTGTATACAATTTAATTTGTGCCACCATACTTGCTAGTTTTGGCAAAGGGAGGCAAAAATCTTGAGGCAACAATTACACAACTTGCAAGAAAATTATCGGTAAAATTCCTTCTCCTTTAGCTTGGATATACTTGATTGACCTGGTAAATAGCATAGCACTTGATACCATACAATAGTTGGTAAAATAGTATGCTTCATAAATTATTTAAAATATATGTAATGTACGGATGATTATCACAGAAGAGTTGTTCCATATGTTATATAGCTTGTGCTACTAAGGATTGTATTATGTCCTCCATAACACTCTTTAAAACAGTTATGGGTTCAGAGAATAGAAGCTAGAGCCAGATGCTCCAGTTTTCTTTATTCTTCTCCTCCTTATATGTCAATAATATGCTTCATAAATTATTTAAAATATATGTAATGTATGGATGATTATCACAAAAAAATAAGAGCCGTACCATATGTTACATAGCTTGTGCTACTAAGGATTATATTATGTCCTCAATGACACTCTTTAAAACAGTTGTGGGTTTAGAGAATAGAAGCTAGAGCCAGATGCTCCAGTTTTCTTTATTCTTCTCCTCCTTCCCATTCTTCTCTTCTTTTTCTTTCTTTTCCTTCTCCTTTTAATTCTTACTCTTATTGGTCACATATTTTGGACATCACAATTTTTCTACTACAGAAGCATTATGTCTTTTTTTTTTTTTGGCATTAAAAAGGATTTCAAAATGTTATGTTGCCCCTCTTGCTGATTTCCTTTCCCTTCTCTTTTGTTCTAGTCTACATTCTTAAGTTTCATCCAGTTTCCTTTTATACTTTCTCGTTATCCAATTACACAATTTTGGCCACCCTTTTTGCATGTTTCATCATCATTTCTAGCCCTCTCTTGTAAGAATATATTTCCATGATTTTGACCTGCACATTGACTTCCTCATGGCACTTTTGTTTAGGCTTTTATGTTGAGATAAGTCTTTTAGTACATTTCTCGCTTGCTTTAACATTTACAAGATATTTCAGTTTCTTTTTTGATAATATATATCCTTTGTTCATGTAATTGTTGCCCCCTAAACTGGAAATCAATGGCATGATTGACAATCAATAAGATTCTCCAATAAAGGATGAAAAAAACCTAGAGGATCCCTAGATTTCACTAGACAAATAATGAAAATTGCTTCCCTTATCTCTTCAAGACATGTAAGACTGATCATATATTGAATTATAACTAAGGTCTGATAGAGAAAAGAAGATTGTAATTTTGATGAGACAGGCAATTGATGGGAGAAGAACTTTATGGTTTGAGCGTCCAAGACCTACAAAAGCTAGAGAACCAACTGGAAATGAGTTTGCGAGGTGTCCGCATGCAAAAGGTGATACCCTTACTCTTCATGCAATGCTTAAGACTAAAGAGTTGAACTTGTGTGGCCTTCTATGCAGAAGGTCCATCATACTTAACATGAATTTTCTATTTACATTAGATGTTTTTTTCTTAACTTCAACAGGACCAGGTTCTAATGGACGAGATACAGGAGCTAAGCCAAAAGGTCTCTCCAAATGATGGATGTTAATCAGACTTTTTGTCAAGAATAATTTCAGTTTTCTAAAATAAGCTTTGTTGGATTCATTACAGGAGAACTTTATGCATCAAGAAAATGTCGAACTCTATAAGAAGGCAAACCTAATTCGTCAAGAAAACATGGAATTGTGTAAAAAGGTATCTGGTTAGACTAAAAACAACCTTCTAGCATCCCTGAATAAACTCAAATACTACAATGCTTGCACACATAATATGTGAAATTAGTTTCCTGACTAGGGACAAAACTTCTTGCCTCAGATTTATGGAACGAGGGATGTGACTGCAGCGGAAGGAAGCACGCAAAATCCACATGGTTTCAGCATTGGAGTGGACTCATATGTGCCCATCAATCTCCAGCTAAGCCAGCCTGAGCGACAATGTCATGAGATGCCAGCAAGGGAAACAAGATCACAGTAAAACTCTCTCCACACCCTTGAAAAGTAATTCAATAATACCAAGTGTTCTGTGCAGTCTTTGATCCCAATGATATTTATCAACTGCTTCAAATTGCAATTGCATTAGAATTGCACACCACCCAAGGCCATCTTAATATATGTATAGTAAGAAATTGAGTAGTTTATCAATGGAATATGTTTCACAAGATTGCAGTATGCACACAAACCCACACCCAACTGATAAGGTATCCCATAACCGATCCTTATTTTCATTTTCCAGAAAACACTTTTCAAAAATTTTACTTTTTTATTTTTTGTGTTTTTACTGAATTTTTTTAATATTTTAAACAATTTTTTTACTTTTTAGACACACCTAACATAAATACACTTAAAAAGTAAAAAAATTATAACAAAAATCTATTAAAAATTCACTAAATACCAAAAATTAAAAAAAATACAAGAATTCAGTACATTTTTTATATTTTTATGTATTTATTAATTTTTTAAAATATTTTTTCACAAATTTTTTACTTTTTAATACATCTAACTAAGGCACATCTAAAAAAGTAAAAAAAAAATGTTTAAAATTTAAAAAATATTCACTAAAAACAAAAGAATACGAAAACCAAAAAACTCAATTTTCAAAAAACATAATCCAGAAAACTCAAACCAAACACATGCTTTTATGTTCGCTTCAAGAACAGTCAAAGTATAAGCATAACTGGAATGAAAGTTTAGTCTTCAAATTTTAATAATCTTAAGTGCTCATTTGGCATTGGCATTTTTAGCCAACTTTTTTGTGTTGAGACTTTTTTAGCTTGGCTTTTTTAGTCTCGTTTGATTTTTATTTTGAGACTTTTTTGACTTTTGTAAGATAAAAAGTGTAATGATTATGAGTAAAAAATAGTATTTTACCTTATTGGCTTTTATAATCAATTTTGTCTTTTTGTGATTGTTTAGTCCCAAAATCTTAGCCAAACGAAGTTTCACTGAATGCATTGGTACATGGATAGGCATACAGCACCAACCATTATCAGAGTATTTTAAGGAAAATCAACCTACATACCTTGTTTTCCCCAACCAAAAAACATATATTATCTTCCTGAAAGGGTAGGAATTGAAATATTATCAGTTAATTTTTTCTCCTGGTTATAGGTAAACGCATTCGTATTCAACACAATTTGCAAAGTTCAAACCCACCACACCCCCCAAATGACTAGTCCAAATATTATCAGTTAGTTTACACGGCCCTTTTTCACTTTCATGTCAGCATCTTGCAAGGAGCCTTTCATAGTTATATTTTATATGCAGAGAGAAGGTAGCTCAAAAACAAAGTCACAGACACAACCATCTCTCGTGTAACGTTCTTGTCAAATGTATACGAAACAATAAAATTCTCATTCTTTAGTATAAGACCACAAATCCACCAAAAGAAAAGGAAATAACCAAGAATTATACCCAAACACTACAAGAAAATGGGGCTTAAAAGACGGAACTATTTGCGACGGTACACTTGCCGTCGCAAAGGTGACTTTTTGCGACGGTAAAAAATACCGTCTCAAAAAACAGGAGTATTTGCGACGGTAGAAAAATACCGTCGCAAAAAAAGGAGAGTATTTGCGACGGTATTTTCTACCGTCGCAAATACTCTGTTTTTTGAGACGGTATTTTTTACCGTCGCAAATACTCTGTTTTTTGAGACGGTATTTTTTACCGTCGCAAAAAGTCACTTTTGTGGTTTTTTTTTTTAAGTGAATATTTTAAAATTTTTAAATATTTTTTTTAGATGCACTTTACTTAAATGTATCTAAAAAAAAAAATTATGAAAAAATATTTTTAAAAATTAATAAATACATACAAATATAAAAAAAAAATGTATTGAATTATTGTATTTCTTTTGTATTTTTGGTATTTAGTGAATTTTTAAAAGATTTTTTTACTTTTTAGGTGTATTTATGTTAGGTGTGTCTAAAAATTAAAAAAATTAAATATTAAAAAAATTCAGTAAAAAAAAAAAAAAAAAAAAAATAAGAAAGTAAAAT